AAAAAAAGCGTGTGTGTGTGTGTGAAAAAAAGTATGTAGGTCTCGGCAAAAAAAACACCTCTGGGCATGGCTAAAAAAAACCTGCCAGGCAGCCCAAAAAAAAAGGCAGTGAGATGCTGCAAAAAAAAAAACAGGCAGGAGGGAAAAAAAATCTGGAGGCTCCTGGGAAAAAAAAAAGCTTTTCTGCAGGTGAAAAAAAGCCTGGGGCAGGGTTTCAAAAAAACCTCCGGTACCCCTCACAAAAAAAGGGAGGATAATCTGCATAAAAAAACACACAACTGGCCTAGAAAAAAAAGGTCAGGGGATTCTCGCAAAAAAAGTCTCTGCGCAGAGGCTAAAAAAACTTTTATCAGGGACTTTAAAAAAAGGCCCACCTGTCCCAACAAAAAAACCCCGCCCCAGCCACGCAAAAAAACTCTGGGTCCTCCCTGGAAAAAAACAGGCAGCAGGCTCTCAAAAAAAACCCTCCCACACTCACTCAAAAAAACTGGGCTCCTCAGGGCAAAAAAAAGAAGGATCCCGCTGAGGAAAAAAAATTTAGACAATTCCCTGAAAAAAACCATGGCACCCAGCTCTAAAAAAACTTGCTGCGGTGAGGGTAAAAAAATGTACCTGGCATGGGCGAAAAAAACAAGAGCGCCTCCTCCAAAAAAAACAGGGATTGGTGTCCCTAAAAAAAATCTCCAAAGTGGAGCAAAAAAAACTGAAAGCGGAGCACTAAAAAAAATCCCCCCGGTCACAGGTAAAAAAAAGGACTGTCGTGGGTCAAAAAAAACGGAGCAGATGGCTAAAAAAAAAATCACCACGGAACGCGGCAAAAAAATGCCCTCCCCTCTCCCTAAAAAAAGGGCCTTCTACATGCACAAAAAAACCTCCCGCACCAGCAGCAAAAAAAGGGTCCCAGAGGAGCCGAAAAAAACCTCCCTGGCCTTGCTCAAAAAAATCGCAGCATCCGGGCACAAAAAAACTAAGGTGCTCGGTGACAAAAAAACTGCCTTGAGGACATGCAAAAAAATTTGTCCTCACAGGGGAAAAAAAACAGCTGGAAGTGTGGGGAAAAAAACCCAGCTACTCTCTGGGAAAAAAAGGATTTTAGGTGCCCACAAAAAAATCCCAGTCTCTCCCAGCAAAAAAATTGGGTCCTTAGATGCCAAAAAAATTCAGGACAGCCCGCCTAAAAAAATGCCTCTCTGGCCTGACAAAAAAATTCCAGGTTTACAGGTGAAAAAAAATGGCTCACAGTGCCAAAAAAAAACTAGGACTCCAGGCCCTAAAAAAAGGCTCTGGATGCCCTCCAAAAAAATGTGGCTGCTGCTACCAAAAAAAATTGTGTGCAGAAGTGTGAAAAAAAGCACCCCAGGTCTGCTGAAAAAAAACTGGGTGCCTTTACTTAAAAAAACTAGGTGGGCCCATTTCAAAAAAACATAGACATTGTTTCTCAAAAAAACCGTCTCTGGTGCTTGTAAAAAAAGGTGTAGTGATCAGGATAAAAAAAAAGGCAGGTACCACCTCAAAAAAAATCCTGCTCCTCCTGGCAAAAAAATTTTCTGCCTCCTTTGGAAAAAAAAACATCAATGCTCCCCGAAAAAAAGTCCTGAGATCCTTTCTAAAAAAATCTCCCCTCCTCTTTCTAAAAAAATGCACCCCATGCTCCTGAAAAAAACCCAATCTTCGATCCCTAAAAAAAAGTTTCCAATGTTCTCTAAAAAAAACCACATACCTGATACCAAAAAAACAACAAATGCCATCCCCAAAAAAACCACATTTCCCCCAAAAAAAAAAACTCAGTGTTCCCTGTTCAAAAAAAGGCGTATCCCTCCTCCCAAAAAAAGGCCTCATGCTGGGGGTAAAAAAACCTCCTGGCCCCCTCTCAAAAAAACACAACCTTCAGACCCCAAAAAAACCAAATGGGCTCTGCCCAAAAAAACTGCTGCTTCTGCCCTCAAAAAAATACTGGGCAGATCGCAGAAAAAAATTTCCTTGTTTGGCCTCAAAAAAATTTGCTCATCATTGCCAAAAAAAACTCAATTCAGCTCCACCAAAAAAACTGGGCTCTGCTCTGAGAAAAAAAGAAAGGTGCCCTGAGAAAAAAAAAGCAGCACAGACCATTAGAAAAAAAGAGGTAGGGCCTCCTCCAAAAAAAAATTCCCTACATCACATAAAAAAAACAGCAGAAATGTAAGGAAAAAAAAAGAGCTGTGCGTGCCAAAAAAAAGCAAAGGTCATGGAAACAAAAAAATGACTTCCTGGAAGAGAAAAAAAAGTGATGTGGACCTCAAAAAAAAAAGTGGCCTTTTGCAGTGTAAAAAAAAACAAGGAAGAGGTAGAAAAAAAAAACATTCAGCAGGATCAAAAAAAAGTGGAATACTCTCAAATAAAAAAATGTGAAAATGGCCCAGCAAAAAAAAATCTCAGCCACATAATAAAAAAAGAAATGGCAAATTGAAGAAAAAAAATATGCATGGCATGGTGAAAAAAATATAAATCTCAAAGACAAAAAAAACAATATATTATTATGGAAAAAAAAGTTTGTAGCAAGAGTATAAAAAAATGTATAAGAGTGATAAAAAAAAAATTTATCTCTGGGGAGGCAAAAAAAGAAAGAGGAAGGCACAGAAAAAAAGGATCTAGTTATGGCTTAAAAAAATTATTTGAAAAGAGAGAAAAAAAAGTCTAAGGCAAATATGGAAAAAAATTAACATCTGTTCAATAAAAAAAATTACAGGTATGTGGATTAAAAAAATATTGTTTTCTCCTTATAAAAAAATTAAACTAAAATTTTAAAAAAAAATAAAAGGAAAAAAAAAAAAAAAAACTGGCATTCTACACAGGAAAAAAATTCCCTACAGGGGCCCAAAAAAAACCAAGGGGCAGGGGTTGAAAAAAAGTACCCAGGAGCCCAGCAAAAAAAGGCAAGGCTGGAGCAGGAAAAAAAGCGATGGGCCTGGGGGAAAAAAAAGGGTGTCTAAAGGGGTGAAAAAAAACTTTTTCCTCCCTGCTAAAAAAACTCCTTCTCCTAGTGTGAAAAAAAGGTTCAGCTGCTTGCCCAAAAAAAGCAACAACCTTTGGCTGAAAAAAATTCAAGGGTTACTTATTAAAAAAATACCCTGTATTGAGTATAAAAAAAAAAAGCTACATTTCCATAAAAAAACTATAGATAGGCATTATAAAAAAAACCTCTTCTCTATTTTAAAAAAAAAAAAGCAAGCAGAGAGGAAAAAAAGGATTTGCCCATGGTTAAAAAAAAAGCAGGAGAGAGGCAGAAAAAAAATTGACGCCAGAGCCTGTAAAAAAAACTGCAGTGCTCTCTATAAAAAAACACGTACCAGGCACCATAAAAAAAGCCGTGGACTCAGTGATAAAAAAAGTGACACCGCTCTGCCCAAAAAAAGCTTCTGGGCCAGTTCCAAAAAAACACCAAGCAGCACACAGAAAAAAATACGACCGATGATCTAGAAAAAAAAGAGAACCTTGTGCTTCAAAAAAAAAAACAAGGACACGACTAAAAAAAAAGGGTCCAAGAAGGTTAAAAAAAAGAGGGAACATTTATGAAAAAAAAGATAGAGTTGGCCAGGAAAAAAAAGGAAGGGCAGTGAAGACAAAAAAAACAGCAAGTGCAAAGGCAAAAAAACAGGCGTGGGCTCCGGCAAAAAAACCGGGAAGGGTCAGAGGAAAAAAACCCAGAGCAGAGGGAAGAAAAAAAGCCGTGAGGGCAGAGGGAAAAAAAGCAGAGAGGGAGACAGCAAAAAAATGCGATCTCCATTGTAGAAAAAAAGACCACATGTCTGCGTGAAAAAAATTCTAGCCTGTGGTCCCAAAAAAAATATTCATAGTGTCCTAAAAAAAATTGGACAACAATGCATTAAAAAAACACCCTCTCATAGGTGAAAAAAAAGAGTTTGGATTTTGTTCAAAAAAAAGTGGGAAAGCACTGAGAAAAAAAAATAGGAGAGTGACACAAAAAAAATATAATATATAAAGTTCAAAAAAACTGCAGTGTGGAAAGGGAAAAAAAGGGCACAGGAAGGAGGCAAAAAAATCTTTCCTGACTCAGCCAAAAAAAGTGGAAGGGTCCAGGCCAAAAAAAGGCAGAGAAGGCCCAGCAAAAAAATGCGGAGGTTGCAGCCAAAAAAAAATCTGACTCCCGGCAAAAAAAAAACCGGAGATGCTCCTCCCAAAAAAATCCTTGCACTGGTCCAGAAAAAAATCCCAGACCCGGAGCTTAAAAAAAAGGCCTCAAGGGGTAGAAAAAAAACTCTGAAAACAGCTGCCAAAAAAACAGGACTGCAGGGCAGCAAAAAAAAGCAGCAGGAAAGTTCCAAAAAAAAGCTCAAGGACTCAGTAAAAAAAAGAAATAACAATTAACAAAAAAAAATTTCCGTTTGATAATTTAAAAAAATCCCTGTGCTTCTCATCAAAAAAAAACCTCCTTCCTTTCCAAAAAAAAATTTCAGAAATGAGAGCAAAAAAAACTCAAAAACACAGCTGAAAAAAATCTCAAAATGGGGCCAGAAAAAAAACTGAATGAGTGCTGGGAAAAAAAGGGTGGCTTCTGGCATCAAAAAAAGTACCTGTTGACTGGCCAAAAAAAGCTGCCCGTGAATGAACAAAAAAAGGCCCACCCACTCTGTGAAAAAAACTCCAGGGAGGGGGATCAAAAAAAGGACACACACACTGCCGAAAAAAAATGGGCAGATGCCCGCCAAAAAAATCACAGACGTTTTATTTAAAAAAAGGCCAGCAGCATAAGCCAAAAAAATGGAAGAGAAGAAGGGAAAAAAAAAAAAGTTAGAAGCCTGTAAAAAAAACCTGGCGAGGATGAAGAAAAAAACTTTGGCACTCCACAAAAAAAAAAATGCACACCTGCCTCTTAAAAAAATCAGGACTTGCTAAGCCAAAAAAACAGGTTCAGGTGGGGGTAAAAAAAGTCTGGGTGCCACGAGGAAAAAAACATAGGCTCAGGGAGAAAAAAAAAGGCCGGTGGGAGAGGGGAAAAAAACCGAGCGGCAGGACAAAAAAAAAAGGGAACCAGCAGAGCACAAAAAAACCCACGACGATGGCCAGAAAAAAAGCCGCTTTCTTCTCACGAAAAAAATTGAGCAGGCGCACGGAAAAAAAACTGCGGAAGGTGTGGCCAAAAAAACTGCGCAGGCCGTGCGCAAAAAAAGCGCCCGTGGCCGCGCCAAAAAAATGGATGCGCAGCACCACAAAAAAAGCCTTGCCTCGCTCGCGAAAAAAACCCGCCTCGAGGCTGCGAAAAAAACTGCGCGCGACCACGTAAAAAAAACAATACATGACCACGATAAAAAAAATGGGCAGGTAGAAGGAAAAAAAAGAGGAGAAGACAGCGTAAAAAAAATCCTCGGTGATACCGCAAAAAAAATCGTCAGGGGGCACGGGAAAAAAACAGCCCAGCAAGGGCCCAAAAAAAACCACCAGGGCTACGACAAAAAAAAGCGCCAGGATGGCGGCAAAAAAACGCTCGGTCATGATGGCAAAAAAATTGAGTGAGTGGCGCACAAAAAAATACCGGTCCACGGAGATAAAAAAAAGGCTGAGGATGGAGGCAAAAAAACACAGCACGTCCACGGCAAAAAAAACGTCGCAGAAGGCCCGAAAAAAAGCCCAGAAGCCCAGAACAAAAAAAGTGGCCGAGAAGGGCAGAAAAAAAGCACTCAGCAGCAGGTCAAAAAAAGCCAGGTTCACGATGAAAAAAAAAGTGACAGTCTGCAGGTGAAAAAAACAGGCCACTGAGAGGATAAAAAAAAAGTTACCTGCCACGGCAAAAAAAATGAAGGCTGCCAGGAAAAAAAAAACGCCCACGCCCTGCGCAAAAAAAACCAGTCCCCCGACGGCAAAAAAACCATTCACGTCGCTGCCAAAAAAAGCGCTCCCCGGCTCCCCAAAAAAACTCCGGTTGTCCTCGCCAAAAAAAGCGCCCACCACGCCGCCAAAAAAACCCGCGCCCCCCGGCACAAAAAAAACCGCCGGGCCCTCCGAAAAAAAAGCGCCGCCCGCGCTGCCAAAAAAACCGCCCGCGCTGGAGCCAAAAAAACTGCTGTCCGGGCGGGGAAAAAAAAAACTGACGCTCAGGAGAAAAAAAAAAGTCATCTCAACGCGAAAAAAACGGTGGCCGGGCCGGGAAAAAAAACGAGCGGCCGGCAGGGAAAAAAAAACAGGGCATAGCCGCGGAAAAAAAGATGCAGCTCCGCACGGAAAAAAAGGGGTCCTGCCTAAGTTAAAAAAACGCGGAGCGCGGCTGTCAAAAAAAGGAGCTGCCTGGCCCGGAAAAAAACCGGGCTCCCCGAGGCCAAAAAAAGACTAGCACCGAAGAGCAAAAAAAGGCGACGCTCGCGGCGCAAAAAAAGTGCCCAGCAAGCGGGCAAAAAAACGCCTCCGGGGCCGGGCAAAAAAAGCAGCGGCCACTGCGGCAAAAAAAACTCGGCGCGGGGGGCGAAAAAAAGGAGGGGCAGCGCCAGGAAAAAAAAGGGGGCGACCCGGGTCAAAAAAAGGGCGCCACACTCCAGAAAAAAAAGGACCCTTCGCTCAGGAAAAAAAAGTGTGTCGAGGTCTAGGAAAAAAACGGCGCTGGCGCGTGCTAAAAAAACGCAGCAGCCACCCACGAAAAAAAGCAAGTGCCCAAGCCCGAAAAAAACCCTCGCGGTGCCCTTTAAAAAAATTCTCGCTCCTCTCCCGAAAAAAATCCCCCTTGGTCCTCAGAAAAAAACCTGTTCCTCCCGCCCTAAAAAAAGAGTCTCTCGGTCACTCAAAAAAACCCTTGGGCGCGCGGTGAAAAAAAGGCGCGAGTCCCGGGTCAAAAAAATACCGGCTTTGGCCGCCAAAAAAAAGCAAGCGCCTGGGATCAAAAAAATGCGGACCGGACGGCGCAAAAAAACTGCGGGTTGCCTCCTGAAAAAAACCATATGGATCTGCCGCAAAAAAATTTTCTCAGGCCACTGGAAAAAAAAGGATTTCAGACACCTCAAAAAAATGCGATGTCGTGAAGAGAAAAAAAGAAGGGTTGGAAACCTGAAAAAAACTGAGGCTGGGTACGATAAAAAAAGGAGCAGGATGCTGTGGAAAAAAACCTCGGACCCTGCCCAAAAAAAAATGGTCTACATACACTGTAAAAAAACTCTGTATCAGATGCGGAAAAAAATCTTTCTGTACCTACCTAAAAAAAATAAGGGGCCTTGTTCTAAAAAAAGCCTTGTTAAGAGGGAGAAAAAAAGTGCCAGAGGGTGGGAAAAAAAAATTGGCAGGATGGTTAATAAAAAAAGGTGTGAGACAGTCTGGAAAAAAATCTGAATCCAGGCTCCGAAAAAAATTAACTGTGAGACCTCTAAAAAAATCAGTTCCTCATCTGTAAAAAAAAAATAAGAAGTGATGTCTAAAAAAAGGCCTGAGGGTTAACTGAAAAAAAATGGGTGAGGGCCCCAGAAAAAAACTTGGGTATGTCAGCGGAAAAAAACTTGTTCAGGGCAGGCTAAAAAAAGGGAGGATGGAAGGCAGAAAAAAAGTGGGGCTGGTATGGACAAAAAAAGCAGGTGTGGGAGAGGGAAAAAAAAGCTTCTTGAGCAGCAGAAAAAAAGGGTAGGGAGAGGCTCAAAAAAAACATACAGTTGGCCAACAAAAAAAAACTGGCTGCTGGCACATAAAAAAAACCATGCTGGATACACTAAAAAAAAGGAGGGTAATGCCATCAAAAAAATGCAGAATGAGGAGGGCAAAAAAACTACCAGGGAGATGAGGAAAAAAATGCAGAAGTGTCTGGTAAAAAAAAGAGAACCCATAGCCCTAAAAAAAACTGGTTGTGGTTGACACAAAAAAAGGATGCCTGAGTTTTAGAAAAAAAGCTGCTTTGGAGAAAAAAAAAAAAACTGGAGAAATGTTGAGAAAAAAATGACCTCCCTCCTCTCCAAAAAAAAGTCCAGGAAGATAAAGAAAAAAAAATCATATCTTGGAAACAAAAAAACCATGGCCTTCCCCATTAAAAAAATTATTTTGGTTTTTGGAAAAAAAATATAGTGAGTTGAAATGAAAAAAACGTGACTTCTAGGGATTAAAAAAAAGCTGACCAAAAGTAAAAAAAAAAGTTTGGGTTTCCTCTCTAAAAAAAGAGGGACAGTGGGAACTAAAAAAAGAGGCCAGGAGCTCCTCAAAAAAAAGGGTTAGATGGCAGGTAAAAAAACATGGGTGGCTGCTGTCAAAAAAAGTGGAATAGGTGCAACCAAAAAAAAATCCATTTGATTCTGGAAAAAAACAGTTTTCAAAGACTGGAAAAAAAAGACATAGTTAAACCTAAAAAAAAGGCTGGGGTGCTGGGGAAAAAAAAACTGGTGTCACATAGAGAAAAAAACCTGATTCTGGTGTGGGAAAAAAACAGAAGGCTGGTTGGAGAAAAAAATGCCAGCAGGGTAGGAAAAAAAAAGGGATAGAATGCCTGGAAAAAAAAGGGGAAGTCTTTCCCCAAAAAAAATCTTGGTGTTCCTCAGAAAAAAAACAAGATGATTCCAGACGAAAAAAAGCTCTTGGGAAATGAATAAAAAAAGACAGTGGTTGTGAGATAAAAAAAAGTTTCCTGTACCTGCTAAAAAAACGCTGAAATCCAGGAAGAAAAAAACACAACATGCTGGTGGCAAAAAAAACAAGAGAAAGAGCTGTAAAAAAATGAAAGGAGATCTTAGCAAAAAAAGGCTGAGATAAAGCTCAAAAAAAACCCAAGCACACCATTCAAAAAAAAATCTTTGCTTGGATGCCAAAAAAACACCTCGAATTAAGCATAAAAAAAAGTTAAACTCACCATCTAAAAAAATAAAATCTTCAACTTACAAAAAAAATTTATGAAAATGGAACAAAAAAATATGCAATTGCAATTTAAAAAAAAAATTTAGGAAACCTAAAAAAAAAATTCTGCTTTACTGTCCAAAAAAAATTTAGCCAGTCCTAGAGAAAAAAAGATTGTGTTTGCCTACTAAAAAAAGTGAAACCATCCCCTTCAAAAAAACGTCTCTGCCTGAGGTCAAAAAAAGATCATGCCTCACTCTGAAAAAAATTCATACTCCAATAATAAAAAAAACTCTGTTGCCATATGGGAAAAAAAAAATCTGATCATTTTACAAAAAAAAAAATATTTCTTTGATAAAAAAAAACTGCTTTTAAGTTCATAAAAAAATTAGTCTAGTGCGACTGAAAAAAATCCTGTTTCTTACCTTTAAAAAAATTGGTGGGGGAATGCTCAAAAAAAGTTGTTTGGAAGACGATAAAAAAAAAGCATGTTGAGGTGGTAAAAAAATTAAAATGGATGCTGCTAAAAAAATGGGCCACATGGGACCCAAAAAAATATTTGGATTATAAATGAAAAAAAGTGAATCATAGGCTTTTAAAAAAAAAATGATTCTTACATGAAAAAAAAGTTCTAGCATCTCATACAAAAAAAGAATGCTGTCCAGAGGGAAAAAAACTGGAAAAACGGCTAGAAAAAAAACTATCTGAACTCAGGGTAAAAAAACTGAATCTCTCAGGCACAAAAAAACAGCATTTTGCTTGTTTAAAAAAATATTTACTTATTTAGTTAAAAAAAGTAGTGACGGGATCTCGAAAAAAAGCCCACGCTGGTCTCAAAAAAAAAGGCTCAAGCAATCCTCCAAAAAAAACCTCCCAAAGTGCTGGAAAAAAAGGCATGAGCCACCATGGAAAAAAACCTCCAAAGCATTTTGAAAAAAAATCTGTCACCTCCAGATTAAAAAAAAGGATGATTATCCTTAAAAAAAAACTGGAGGCAGTGAATTTAAAAAAAAGCTTAAATGCCCTTTGAAAAAAAAATTAACTTCCTTCCTTAAAAAAACCTTACTTTGACTTGGTAAAAAAAAGTGGGACCATCTTTCTAAAAAAAAATGTTGGGGCCGGGCGAAAAAAATCACGCCTGTAATCCCAAAAAAAAGGGAGGCCGAGGTGGGAAAAAAAAGAGGTCAAGAGATCGAGAAAAAAAGGCCAACATGGTGAAACAAAAAAACTACTAAAAATACAAAAAAAAAAAGGGTGTGGTGGTGCGTAAAAAAAATCCCAGCTACTCGGGAGAAAAAAACAGGAGAATTGCTTGAAAAAAAAAGGTGGAGACTGCCATGAAAAAAAATCGCGCCACTGCACTCCAAAAAAACAACAGAGCAAGACTCTAAAAAAAAAAAAAAAAAAAAAGAAAAAAAAATGGGCTTTCCGAAACTAAAAAAAATATGACCCGTCAGTGTTAAAAAAAGAAGGATACTGCTGGGTAAAAAAATTTGGGTAAAATATTTGAAAAAAATGATAGAAGAAGAATGGAAAAAAATGGTGGTAGCATCATTTAAAAAAATGTGATGTGATGTGAACAAAAAAACCTTATTCCATCAACTAAAAAAAAAGCTGTCCCCATTAAAGAAAAAAACCTAGCAGGCCATATATAAAAAAAATGCAGAGCCTTTCCTGAAAAAAAAAGGGAAGTCATCAGCAAAAAAAACAGGAACTCTTACCTAAAAAAAAAACATTGGTGTTCTGTGCAAAAAAACTATATGGTCTTTGGCAAAAAAAAGGACCTGGTTGTGTCCTAAAAAAAATGGGGCAAATGGGATTAAAAAAAATCAGAGATCAAAGCAAAAAAAAACTTTAAGTGAAGCCTTCAAAAAAACCCAATATAGGCTGGAGAAAAAAAGCTCACGTCTGTAATCTAAAAAAATTGGGAGGCCAAGGCAAAAAAAAAGCTTGAGTCCAGGAGTTAAAAAAAAGCCCGGGCAATATAGTAAAAAAATGTCCCTACCAGAAAAAAAAAAAAAGAAAAAAAAGAAAAAGAAAAAAATGGTGGTGTACAGCTGAAAAAAAAGCAACTCTGGAGGCTGAAAAAAAAGGATCGCTTGAGCTTGGAAAAAAAAGGCTGCAGTGAGCTGTAAAAAAAGCACTGAACTCAGCCTGAAAAAAAGAGTGAGACCCTGTCTCAAAAAAA